GGTGGCGGCGGCGGCGGCGGCCGCGGTCGCGGTCGCGGTCTGTGCGGTGGGGTTCAGGGTGATGTTGTTGGCGGTGGCAGCGGCAGCGACGATGTCGGTGGTGATGATGGCAGTTGGCAGGGTGGTGGCGATGGTGGCGGGGCTGCTGCAGCTGGTTGCGTTTGCTGATGGTAGGGGTTGTCAGGGTTTCCCATTTTATACCCAGGCCATTTTGACAAATCATACCCTTGGAAAATCAAATTCCCTGGACTTCCGGGGAGGCCACCCTTCAATCTAGAAGCCCCTTCATAAGGTCTAACCCAAAGTCCCGCTCACATCCAGTTGCAAGTTACAAGTTGAGGGGCTGCTGGTAGTTGGTACTTGGTAGCATGTTGTCAGTGTGCTGTAGCAGCAGCCAAAGTTGGAACGGTAGAGCAGTTGGCTTGATTGTTGCCGACAAACCTTCCCTGCCAGTCGTTGGCCGCAGAAGCCCGTGGGGTGCTGACTCCTGCGACGGCCTTCCATGGCAGTACGTTGCTGCAACGGCTGGAGGCACCCCGAATCTCGCAGTCCATACAAGACAGGGCCCTTCTGGACACCTCTAGGTCATCAGTCCTTTGTACCCGTGAGGAAGAGGGCCATGACTTGGAGAGATTCGCACACCTTGCCCTCACTGCCAACGATATGTTGTGAGGCTCACCCGTTCGCTGGCGGGACAGGGCCAAAGATATCTTTCGAGGTGGGCGGTGGAAGCTGCATCGGGAAGGCGTCTGCCAGTTCTACTGCCAGGCATGACCTCAGTGTGGGAATTGCTACAAGGTTCAAAATTCAGGGGACAGATCCCCCACTTTGCAGACTTTTCGGAATCTTGCAGCCCGAAACCGTAAACCCTTTTGTTGCCAGGTCATTGACGGAAAGCCTTCAGACGATCAGGCCCTGGCTGGGGGACGATATCCAAAAGCATTGCATTGGCCCAAAACGATCTATCGTCCGAACTCCTTAAAGGGGGTTATTTAGGGGATTATATAGGGGAGTATAATAGGGGTTACGAAAGGGGATGCTATTTCGACTATAGCTCAAATGATGGTCTTTTCCGGTGGGTTGCTGTAGTTGTGTCTGCAAGGTGTTTTTTGGGGGGAACTTTAAGTTTGAGAATCCCCTTGGGTTTGGATATGTCTTTGAGAGGCCCTGGTGTTTGGACATGAGTGATAAAGTTAGCCGTCATTGATCAGAGTGATGTCGACGCTTCATGCTAGTCTTAAGGTATGGGCGGAAAAATGCAGGTTCATACTGTTGGTAGCGGAAATTGTGTACCACATGTGGCTCTGAAATGATTCTCAAACGACGATGCTAGTTCATAACTCCTAGGGTCCGTGGAGCTGGGCGGTGTGCGTTTTTTCCCCCACAGTTTTGCTTGTGAGCGTGATGATACTAGCATTTGCAAGGACTTACTATAGGCCAGAAACTTGGAAATCAGCACAATGGCAACGATTTCAGGCATGTTAGCAACGGTAAGAGGCAGGCCAGTTTAACATGCAGATACGCAAGCCCACGGGCATTTATCATAAGAAGGGTCTGTTTTGCACACAAGGTGCGATCCATGTAAAGGGGCCTTAAAGGCGATGTGCATTGTGGCTACTTGGAGGGTCAGGGGGACTTAGTAAGTAAGGTAATAAAGGGAATAGTTCGGGAAACTATGTGGGTTCTAGGGGTTATTAACATACTTACTGGGTCCCCCCTACCCTCCAAGCACAGTAAGAGCACCTGCAGAGAGCCAGTTCTTCTGCCGGAGGTTGTCGCTGCTTTGATGAAGGCTGCAGGACGTCGGCAAAAGGCAAGTCAACGATATGCTAGTTCCCTCAGCAAAATGCCAGTAAAGTAGGGACCATTCTGGGTGAAGAGAGGCTTCATACGCCTGCATAAGGTTTACGGGGTACCGAGCATAAAGACTAGATTATATGCTGGGGCGCTTCGGCATGGGGAGGCCTCTTCGTTAGATGACCATATGGTATTTGCAAAACAAGGTGTGTGTGGCTAAAGTTCTGGAGATCCTGGTGTATGGAGAGGGCGCGGACATCGGACACCCCAAAAAAGCTGAGCAACCACTATGGCAACAATCCATCCCCACAATTTCCCGGAGGGGCCCTGGTAATCGAGAAGCACGCAATCATCCCAATCGCGATAGAACCGCTGGTCAGCATGGCCATGGCACTCCAGTGCATTCACAATACCCGCGTTACCCTCCCCCAAAATTAATTTGGAACCCCAAGGCCATGTAGCCCCATTTGCAAAGTACAGTAGTCTTTGCTCGCGTTCCGTGCTTTAATTCCTCATAAAAACCCTGAACCCCAAACCGTTTCATTCCACGTGTCCAAGGCGGGTCAACAGCTTGAAGGCGGCCGTATACAGGCACAGATGTAGGGCTTTCCAGGAAGAGGAGGCCCCAATACCCCAATATTCTATTATAATATGGTAGTTTCCATTTTCTTTTCCATTATCCCTACATTACATCCTCAAATTCTATCCCTATATTATATACTTGTATTGTATAACCCCAATATACTATAGTAGTTTTAAAAGGACTCCCCAAAAGGCCTGCAATTCTTGGAAATCCTGGTGTCAGCACTGTCAACACGACTCTCATAAGTCTGTCTGCACAGCTTCTTTGGAAACGCTTCGTAGGGACGTTCGACCTGAGAAACTCGCGGGGGCTTCCCATAGCAATGGTCCCTTGTTCTGGTGTCCTCTTTCAGGGCCATGAATTGTTGACCGGAAAGTCGGAATTCCAGAAGAACAAGCTCTTAAGCTCTACAACCCTTCGCCTAGGAAGTTTGAGATATGATGTCTGGGCTGAATTCGCAATGAACGCTGGCTTCATGAAAGCAATCAAATTTTGTTTGCCCAACTGCACAGTCGCATACGTTGGGACCTACAGTACTCAACCCCAGCACTGCTCAGAATGGGGACACCAAAGAATCAGCTTCTCTTTGCAGAGCCCATGTGAGCTCTGGTCTAAACTCCTTCCAGGGGGCTGTATAGAGGATTACATGGGGGGCGTATTATAGGGGATATTTAGGGGGATGCTAGGAGTTTAGACTATAGCTCATGTGACAGAGGGACCTGCGCATTGCCTCAGGCGTGGGATGTCCCGGCCATGATCAAGTGAGCGGATTCAGCATCCACTGCCAGCAAAACTGTGCGAGCCGCATTCCATCTGCAGCACTGGTTTGCTACGGAAACTTTGTAGCTATGCTCATACATAAATAGAAGAATCGTTTTTGCAACTATTGCTCTTTTGGCATTCTGGCACCGTCATAATGCTGCCCTGCCAAAGCTGCTCAGACCCTACCAACATGGTCTTTGTCTGCCCTTGCATCCGGATTTCACGGTTTCTTGCTGCCCAAGGCGGCCTCCTTTTCGTCGAGCAAGGTGTTTTTTGTGTTCACCCTTGCCACCACAAAGATTGTGTTTTGATGTTGGATCTTACGGCCAGACAGGCCGCCTGGTATGAGGACCCCCCAGATCTCCAAATCTCCCTATATCTCAGTGAGTACATCCACGCCTTATGCTAGGGTAGACCAGAAGCAGCACAGACCATTGGAGCGCGTGTGTTGCGGAATCGAAGGTCTGGGTTTGAGGATGTGGGGGTTTCCATTGATGAGGGGACCCAAGGGGAGCCTTGAAAGAATAAGATCTTGTCTTGGTAGTCATCAAGGGGTATCCTACTTGTTGAATACTGTGCAAATCAAAATGGCATTCTTGCATGCAAGACCTTCCTTGTCCTACTGGATCATAAGCACCGCATCCGATTGCTTATAGTGTTGTAATAAGCATGTCTCACTGTTTTCTTTGTCTGGGCCAAGAGTTTTTGAGCCTTTAACATTGTGCACACCCCAGACTCCAGAGAGTCCCTGACATCTTTATACAGGCCTTATCAGCAAGAAATAACAATCATTGCAACTTATTGCACAATCGACTTCAATAGCATCTTTGCAACAATGCCCGGGTGATCCCTCAAACTCCGTGAAGCAATCCCAAACCCTCAACCCTAAGCCCCCTAAAGGCCTACGGGGCCCTTAAACCCTAAAATCCTAAGGCTTAAAGCCCCAGACACTCCAACCCTAAATCCTGAAATCCTAACCCACCCCCTCCAAACCCCACCCTCTGCAATCCCAAAACTCTACCCCAGCAAAACGCTTTCCCTTTCTGCATAAGCTATGTCCTGGTGGTCAGAGCGGCGGGCGCCTGCTGCAGTTCAGGCCTCGGGGTTTACGTACTGTGTATGGAGCAAATCTTGCTGCACGTTATGTACTTTTCCTCAATAAGGACTGCATGCGCTTCAGGTTCCTTAGTCAAGATTTCCTCCATCCATCGTAGGATTGCAAACGTTAATTCAGGTTGACTACTTTGCTGCCCCTGACGTAGAAGCCATCCGCGAAGCATGTTGCTTTGCGCACTAAGCAGACCATTCTAGACAAGCCGGGATGCCTTCTGTTTTTAGAATATGAGACATCTAGAGGGATGTTAATAATATCCTTGTCATACTGGCACCAATCCGGGTAGTAATCCTGATGATTGCAATAGGAGCCGTGACGGCGGTAACACTTAGAGCACCATCATGACAACCACCATGAACAAAAACACTTTGTGATTTGGCATGGATAAACGAACAATACGGATAGGAGTTGCAGCGCAACAGAACCTGTCAAAAGAACTTCATGCAACACTTGCGGGAAGCGAAATCAATCAATGGCAGGACAGGCTGAGGAGGCGGAAAGCTTCCTGGAAAGGCCTGTCAACCTTGCTGAAGGCTCGTCTTGCAGTCACCTTGAGGTTGCATCTATTGCTCCTTACACGGCGGTTGTCCGTGCTGTACTTGTCTCTTTGTTCCTGCCAGGTTGCCACCATTTCAGCATGGCCTGCTCTGGGCTGGGTCTTTGGAGGCCCAGCTGTTGGGCCCAATGGCCGGGACATGGTACCCTGCCCTGAAGAGCGGTTGAGGCTCTCTTCTTCCTCGGAGTCTGGTGCGGAGAAGCGCTGAGAACCAGGATGAGGCCACCCAGTGCGATCAGGGTGCAAAGCAAGCTCTTCTCATGGGCATTTCAGGACAGCGTGGCCGTCAAGCTTTACACATTGGAGGTGGGCCGCACAGCCACTGGACTGCAAGAGTCGTGGGTTTGCGTGGTGGCCGAAAATCGATTTGGCGGACTCCGCCGCTGCCCTCAGGATCACTACGTGTGGAGGGACAAGGACTGCTCAACTTTGGCTGCTGCTGGCGCTGATCGGAGAGGGTTTCTGGATTCCTCGTGTGTTGTCCCTGCAGCTGTTTGGATCCCTCGGCCTGTCAGGATGTCTTCGTTGGAATCGTGGCTGATGCTGGCGAGTGGACCGTGGATGTAGGCTGCGTGATAGTGCGTGATGTGCTTGCCCTCTCTTGATATTGCTGCAACACCGCAGCTTCAAATTCTGCATCTCTAGTACCTTTGTGGCCAACCAAGATGACCGGCATAAAGCATGCTCATGCTTAGTTCTGCATGGGAAAAGGATCGTAGAAATTACTATAGGGTTACCATGGAGATGATACAAGAGCTACCGGATCCATTCCTATTCGACACCCCCCTCACCAGCGAATCTTGAATATTCCCGACAAGAATCCTCATTTACTGGAGGGCGGGGATACATCTCATATCAGGAGTGGGGGGATTTTGATATGAGCATGAAGGATTAAATCCCTGTACTATTACAAACCCTTATCTAAATCCATTGTCCCTTTGTTATATTCCTACATATACACATACACATATACACACACACCTATAATGCGCTTTGGATGCTCAGAAGCGGTTCGCGCTGGCTTCGATGAGGCAAGGAGCTTGTGAACAGGCCTACGGGGGATTCCATAGGAAGGATTCTAAAGGGTGATATTCGGGATTATATGCATCGTTTTTTGGTGAGGGATGGCTACTCTATGAGCCGGGGTCAACATTTCCGTTACTGTAGAGTAGTAAGGGTGGTTGTTCAATGAGTAGAGAGATGCTAAAACCACTGCAAAACGATGCGCGGCACCCTAAGAAACGATACCCCAAAACGATAGCTCCGAGACCAGCAAAACGATACGGGGCACGCTAAGTAAATTCCACCATTACCACAAGCAAATAATTCTGACGCAAGCTCATATACAGTCAGGGTTAGACTCTCCTCAGGAGTATAGTAGTTTGTAAGAATCAACCAAAACAAACACTGCTTCGATTTCAATTACAGCTCCATTTCTCCAAAATGGCCCTTCATCTGTGACAGCCTTTGACCCGGCAAAACCCAGCAAAAAGAGGCAGCGCACAAAATCGAAGGTGAACTCTAAAACATCCCAAAACCCCAAATCACGGCTCTAAACCCGCTACACCATCCTAAGCCCTACCTATTCCCCTTAAAGGCATGCGAAACCGGCACAGCCGAGCTCTTCTCGGCCCCACTAAACGTTATCAAGGATGCTCGCCTAACACCTACTTTGTGGGCTGCAAAGGGCTATGCAGGGTTCAGGTTTTTGGGGTTTAGGGTTCAGGGTTTTGGTTTAAGGGTGAAGGCTTTAAGAGTATGTATGAGGTGTACGGGGATATGGAACCCAATAGAGCAAAACAAAATGGACAAGAACATGGGAAATCAAATGGCACCCAGGGTCAAATTCCCCACGGTCGTTGGTGATACAGCAAGTGCACTGATATCCCTTTACATAAGATAGCAATTCTAGTTATTTTCATTTTAACCTACCTACTACATCCCCATGAACCTCCAAGGAGATCCTCGAAGCGCCCCTCAACGGGCCCTTTTAGGGTTTTATAGGGCTTGAGAGTTCAGAGTGTTCAGGGGTTAGGTTTGAAAGTTTGGTGTTGAGGGTTGAGGCGGCTTAATGGTTTAGGGCTCGGAGGGTGTGGCATCAAAAAAGGTCGCCCTCAAGGTAGTTGGAGATCTAGCCTGCATTTATCTATCTTAGGATCAATGATGTAAGTATCAGTTGGTCCAGACTCAAGGTGGGGCCTGACTGGGGGTTTATCGAAGTTCTGGTCCTTGCTGGAAGTCCATGCGGATAAGAATTTCCACTTCTTCAGGTGTAAAAAGCAGAACCTTCATGTTTGGGCCCACCTACCCTGTATCGGAATTTCGTGGTACCAAGGTGAAATGGGGGTTATCAGGCGTAAGACTCGAAGTAGGGAAGCATGGCGGGATCTCAAAGGAGCTTTGGGATCCTCAAGTCGGACATGAAATTTGGCTACTACATGGTCTGTAGTAGTTTCCATTTTCTCTTCCATTATTTCCTGTATATCTAAAACCTCGATATCACCCCAAAGTAGCCATAATATATTCTCCCATGTTAATGTGATTTCTGGCGGGGGGGAAGTGCCTGTTTCATGGCCAGTCAAAACAGGACTTGCTCTACTTTACTGCCGCGTGTCTGCATGCGGAATGTCCTTGCGACCCCTTGAAGCACAACAATGATTGCTGAATCAGCTATAGTCTAAACTCCTTCAATGGGGGGATTATGTAGGGGAGTAATGTTGTTGTTATTAAGGAGAATACTTGGAGTTTAGACTATAGCTTAATGCCATTGCAGGATTACGTCAAGGAGCTGACTTCTTATGGCCTGGCAGCACGAGTGCGTGACCCAGGTTTTGTTGGCTTGTTACAAAGCCATTTTCCAAAAGGGCCATGTGCAGTTCGATCTGCGAGCAGCAGGATTCATGCCTATTTCGCAGCTGGATTGTACCTTTACAGTCATGAGGGAGTCTCAAATAAAAAAGAAAATCTTGCTGGAGATCATTCTGGGTGATCGCTGCATTTGAGGAAGAGCTTTGGGATCTTGGTATTGTGGCTCAGGTTCTCGGGGAAGGCTTGCAAGCAATCTTCGTCTTTCAAGCGCTGCATAGCAGCCTAGCGTTTGAATTAGTCAAGTCAGCAAGGTCACCAACTTGAGTGCAAAAAATCAGCAGAGGCTGTAAACCATAGGCCTTCAAGTCTCCGAAGCTTGCATGCAAAACCTCAAACCCCGAACCTCGAAGCCCCCCAACAACTTGTAGTGCCTCCGTGATTTCAATGACGGATTATGCAACGACCATTTTCCAAATCCAGAAGCCGGAAGCTCCAAGATGGGATTGGGGCACAAGGCCAAAGAGGCGGCCGAGGGTGCTGATGAAAGCTCCTACAGCCGTCGTAGTTTCAAGGAGAGAACCGCAGCAGCTGTTAGAGGAAGAGTGGCAATAGTAGCAGGCTGGCAGCAGCAACCGCTGCTGCCGGCGTGGCCCCTGCTGCTGTCATCCTTGTTGCCAGAACAGCTAGCGTAATCATGGTGTTGTTGAGTAGCAGCAGAAGTAGAACCTGCGCGTCGCGTGTCTGAGGTGTGTTATCTGCCACATGTTCTTACCAATGTCGCCGTTTTACTTTGGAAAAATGCACACGTGAGCCTTGCCACGACCAGAACCTGTTATCGTAAAGCACTTTTTCACATTTTCGGATGGTTTTGTACGTAATATCCATAGTAGTAATGCAGCCCTTCCATGGCATCCGACTGAGCAAGATGCTCAGGCTGTTAAGGCCCATGATAGTACTGCATCGCTCCGCTTGCATTTGGATGACTAAGACGTTAATATCCGTACTATCACTGCATCCATGCAGAACCTCTGTCAGAACTACCTCCCAACCCAAAGTATTAACAAGCGCTATTGTTCCTTGGTCGTTGGCTAGATGTTCATGTTGCATCTGTGTGTTGGGTTCGGATGACCAAGATATTAACACCCAAGACGGTAATGCATCAACTTCGATGCATCCGAATGAATGAGATGCCAACATCCAGTCGAAGCATACGAAGATGTTAACATCCATGCTTTCACTGCATTGCATCCGTGTATATGTTGTTCGCATGTTTTAAATTCGATGGTCCTGCAGAGTTCGGTGATTATCTAGGAACATGCTGGCACACTTTTTTTCGCTGACTCTGGACTTCAGGGCCCGAAAAGCGGCTTTACGCTGCTGCGGCAGGAGTAGGACTAGAATGAAGAATGCTAAGCACAGTTTAGCAGCAGCAAGAGTGATGCTACCAGAAGTTGGTAGCAATAATGACACGGCAACCGTAAGAGTAATCGTGATATCCAGTCACAGTCCTGCCTTTCATGAGGGTATGGCTCCAAAGAGAATTCTGGTGATGCCCATTCTGTTGATGATCAACCACATCCTCACAATTAAAAAGAAGAAACGCTCAGAACACTAAATATTCTGAAAAGTGCAAAGGTACATTGTTGGACATTCTTTCTGTGTTTTGTACTACCTGTGTGGAGGTAAACCCTTCCTACTTCATTCTCCATGCGGCCATGATTAGGGTGAAGCTGCAAGTGGTCGAGGACTTGTCTCCGGAGCTGAAGGAAGTCGCCCGAGAAAGTGGCGGAGTGGCGGAGGCAAATCTGCAAGTCGAAGAGCGTCTAGGGCCTAGGGTAAAGGGTTCAGGGCTGAGGGTTTAGAGTTCAGGGTTCGGGCTTGGGGCCTGGGGTGTAAAACATAGGTTTCCCCGAGTTGGAACCTAGAAGCAAAGCTTGTAAAACACGACGAGGTCTATGCTTCGCGCCTTTATTTGGTGGGGCCTTATCCTACTGTATCAGGGACGTGTAAAAACCCATCACCACATTGAAGGCAATGTTAGAACTTGTAACCAAGGTAGGAATAGCGAGAATATGCGGAGCAATGGGGGAAGTCTTCATCTGATGTTGAAGGGCCTCAAGCCCCGAACCCCTACACGTGCAAATTCCAGGTGAGCTACTGTCAACATTGGCCTTATGAAGGCACACTTAAAAGGAGACCTTGGGGTGCCTCTTGCAGCTTGGGGGGTCCACCCAAAATATCCCTGCTGATCGGCAAGGCCCAGCTTGAATGGAAAGCTTCTCTTCATTGAACTAAAGGTATAGGGTTTAGGGATATTTTCCTAATAATGGAAACCAAATAAAAATCAAAATGGGAGATGAAATGGAACCTATGATTATGTAGGGGACTGATTGTGGGGGTTGACCTTACCCAGATAAACAATGCACATCAGTTCCTCATTAGAGACTACAATAGGGACTATGCTACCCTGTGATAGTGACTATGAAGATAACGGAGATTAGATTGGGGCCCTCTTATATTCCTAGTGGAGGGTGGGTGGTCCACCTGAAGGATATTCTGACGTTAGGGAACTTCAATTGAATTGCAAGGGCTAGGAACCCACCACTGTCTACTATGTGTCCCTATTCTGGTAGTTATCTCTGGTAGTTTCCCAAAATACGGGGACCCCGAGATAGACTCCAATATGTTATAATCCCCATTTTGGGAAACCCTAAACCCTGTATACCCCTATATATCCCCTATATAAACCCTATATCCCCCTGTAAAGGGTACCCCCCAATTTCGGGGAAACCCTAATCTTCATTTCGGTGACTGCGACCTGAGAAGCGCTCCAAGACGCTTAGAGGCGTGATCGAAATTCAGACCCACTTTTGGGTAAGTAGATATAGGGGTTATCGGGGTTATATTGGGATAATGGAAAAGAAAATGGAAACTACTATTCAGAGTTTAGGGTTTAGGGGTTGAGGGTTTAAGGTATATAGTCCCCCTTAAGTGGATAGAATATGGGGTATATGGGGAGCTTATTATAATATGCCCAAACCAATATTCTATCTACTAAAGGGGAACTATAGATTACTACGACTCCACAAGGAAGTAATTGGAGGGTCAGGGGGATTTGGTAAGTGGGTTTGTCATGGGGAAAGGTAGGGTTACTAAGTGGGTTTTAGGGGTTGCTAATTTACTGTCTAAGCCCCCCCTGACCCTCCAAGTAAGATGGTCTGTGGATCCCCTACATAAGCATCAAAACCCCCGTTGGCCAGCCTTCCAGCCCACTTTCTCAAGTGAGTAGTATGTTAGATGGAGATACGATGGTACCCCAATAAAAAGTAAGATTGTATCCTCCTTCCGGGTACAGTAGTTTTACATAATATATATATATATACATGCATGCTGCGTTCGCTGAACCCTGAGCGTCCGTCAAGCCCTACGTTCCTGGTTCCCCTCCTCCCCGTGTTCTCCTCCCCCAAGCTGCGACGAGTCCTCCCGTAGCTCCTCCTTGCAGCCCGTGCTGCGATGTGTCATCCCGCAGCTGCATTGCCCTCTTCTACCGGCCGCACGAAGGTAGGTGTGCATAGCCATGAGGGGCCTGATGAGTGGCCTTCCCCCTTAAGCCCCTCCCCGACCTCTCATGAGACTAGTTGGGCAGTTACAAGAAGGACCCAGGCAGGTAAGGAGAAAATATATAAATTTACTAGGTTCAACCACCAAAAAATTCTACTGAAGTGAGAAAGGCCACGGGCCATGCGCCCTAAACCCTAAACCCTTAACCCTTCACCGCCATACGGCTTGTTTGCTCCAGGCGGAGGCTTCCGGCAAACCCATGCAAATACTTCTTCTGAAGTCTGCGGCATGCTCAGTTTCTAAGGTTGCAACCATGGGCCCCTAGTTTGGGCCCTTAACTCCGGGATCCTTGTATACCTACTATATACTATATTACTGGCCCATACTTCTAACCTTAGGCAGTTTTATCTTTACCCAAACCTAACTGATCAACTTGGCCTGCCAGCTGAGGACCATCCCACCTTAGATGGTTCCAAGAGAGCGATGCAAAAGCAGGTGACCCAGCTTCTAAATCTCTAGCCATGAAGCCCAAGCCCGTGGCCTGCCCGCAACGGCCAATAAATCAAGGGCTTGCTGTTGCTTGCGGAGCTTATGTCCGTGGTTGTAGAGCTTATGCCCGTGGTTGTAGACCTGGGATGATGCCAGAACTATGGTCTGTTCTGGGGATCCCAATATAAAGGATGCTCCTAACTCTCAGCTATATGAAAGCTTAATTTCGTCATACCCTGTTGCGCCTCTCCTGAGGTTCAAGGCTTACGTGGAGTTGGCCACTGATGCGGCCCAGCGCTGGATTCCATCGGATGCCGAACTGAACCAGTGCCTTAGGCAGCATGAGCTTTTAATCTCTAAGCCATGTGGATGATTATGCCGGGATTTAGATAGATATATATGTGTGTATATATATATATGTAATATACTCGAAATATATGTAAGGACTATATTAATGGAGAATCGAATGGAAAAGAGCCTGGGAAATGAAATGGAAACTGGGACTCTACAGCAGTTTGCAGGGCTTAATGTTGCCCAAGATGAGGGCACCTTGATGGGGGTGCTTATAGTAATAATTATAGTACTTTGGGGTCTGTATTGGGGTCTTCCTATTTATGCAAACTGCCACCTAAGATTACATGTCATAGTTGTATCTGTACAATCCCCTGTAACAGGTCTCTATAACCCCACTCCAGGGGGTAGCAATGGAGAGTATCCCCTCAATAAGCCCTATAGTGGTTCCCTTTTTCGTCCCCTGCAAAACCTTTTTCAGGAGTTTAGACTACAGCTGGATGCCCAGTTTCTTGGCCTGATATTCTTTTGCCGCAGCCATGTTGTGCTTTCAGCCTTCAGAAGTAGTTGGGGGCCGGCATAGCAGTAGTACAAGCAGTGTCAGATCAACACAAACTCAGCCACCGACCAACCTCCCATTTCAACAGTAACGTGGGCAGGCTTGCCCAGATCTCCTCGAGAAGCTTGGTTAGACTCCATTCCCCAAAAGCCAAGATGGGGCTGATAGCATTTTGAGCATTTAGGTTTCAGGCTAGGCATGCTCTGGGACCAGTAGGTTGAACGCAGGGTGATTCCAGCCGGCGGATCAGGTGTTCATAAGTTTCGTCTTTAAGGGCATCATCCCCACAAGGCTCTATGACAACCCGCTATGTTGTGACGTATTTTTCCACGCCGCTTGCAACCTTTCTCATTGGCCCAAACATTTGCCCGGGATTTTCCGACCAGCAGCAAGTCTTGTCGGCGGCTACGATGTTCCCAACAATTGCTTCAACTGTACGGTGAGACCAGCGAATGTACTCTGTCTCCCTTTTTTTGGTCAGCGTCATGTTCATGGCAAAATGTGTTTTTAAATGGCATTTCAGCTGACTGTTCAGCCTGCCCTCATCCAAAAGCACTTTGTACGTTTACAGTTGCTGTTCCTTCCTGGTCTGAAGCATGCTCCACGACCCACACATCTTCCTTCTCCTCCTTCATTGGTACCGGTTGACTGACAAGTTTTTGCGCCTCAGTCTGGCAAAAGGAATCTGCATGCCACAGTTCCGGAACATTGCATTTCGAACTGCAAAGCATGAACAACAAGGATCCAGATTTCTTGTTTTTTCATGACTTCGGGCTCAGGACAATGCCCACTTTCTGCAGAGGCAGCTGTATTGCTAATTTCCCAGCTGAAGGACCGTTTTAACACTTAAGAATCGCAAGAATTGCATGGAATGGCCACGACCTGCCAACTTTGCTCTTATGACAAAGGCAAAAAAAACAAGGCACATGCTTGCAGTATGCAGCTCGACTCTTCTGTCGATGCGAAAATTGTGGGCGCTGTCCATTTCAGAAACGGCGCAGTTGAAGATCTATAGCTGGCCATTGCCCGCTTCGGTGGTCATGTCCATTGTTTGTGATGCTCCTCGTAGCTTTGCTGCTGGTAGCTAATCATACTTCGCACGTCTCACTCTGGTCCTTGACCTGCAGGTTATTTGCAGAATCGCCTGACGTTTCCTGTAGTGATGAAAGAAATTCCTCCTTTTCGCGCTTTCCTTTTTTAAGCTTCCTTGTGTATGTTGGGCATCCAACTTGTCGAAGTACGGCTCGCATCCACTTTCCAGGATCATCTGCGCGCTGCTGCCCTGTCTGCTTGATACTTTCTTCCTCCCTGGCTGTTTGCATAGTGTTCTTTGTGCAGAGGAAGCTGGATCCAACTGCCGTTTTTCGTGAAAACAAGGATCTTATGTCAGCCCATTGGGCAAACAATTTCACAGGTTGCCGTATCTTGCAGTGACAAGGTTGGAAGGTCAGTGGGTGGTTCTACCAACTAGTTGCCAGACCTGGATCTCTTTTGTCGCAGCTCCGCTTCCTTCCGAGACTTGACCCCCTATACCCCCAAGCCACACAGCTCAACACAGCCCCAAGCGCAACTGCAGTCACGGCAGTTTACATTGGACATAGCCGATTGCCGCGTTCATGTGGCCATGGTCCAGAAAGCTGAGGCCCCAGTTGCAGCACTGTGGTAAAGTATATACTTGGCCTATATTGGAGTTATATCGAGGTTATTTTGGGATAGTGGAAAATAAAATGGAAACTGCTGTTTAGGAGGAGATGTTGGACGCAGATTGATTCCCGAACCTTTCAGCTTCGCTGAGCTAGCGAATAAGTGGGACAGCATGCTGGAAATACGGTTGGCGTCGAGCTTTCCAGGTGACAAGCTGGATTTTGCTGTTTTCAGGACGCCCCACTAAACCCTAAACCCTGAATCACGATTGTGTCCCAAGAAAGGGGGTAGAAAGCACGTGGCTGCAAGCTGACCTAGATCATTGATATTAGGGTTTAGGGCTTAGGGCCACGTACCGGTTTTATGCTTAATAATTCTAAGTCGTAGAAGCCCCAGATACGGTGCTGAGTTGTCCCCAAACCCTCTCATCTAAAAACGTACAATCACGAGGTGTCTGCCATTATGCCCAGCGCCAGTGCGCTGGACCTCCGCCGCAAACGCCTGGAGAAGCTGCTAACGAAGGCCATAACTTGTCGGAGGCTGCATGCACATTGCTGTAAAAATCATGGCAATGGCAGTTTAAGAAAGTGCTGGAAGCGGAGTTGAGGTGAACGAGAAGTAAATCCGGGCATATTGACTCGTACCAGCAACAGCAGCAAAACTGTCAGAATTGGAACAACAAGTCCCAGCGTCAAGATTGGAACGCCCTTCAACTCAGTGCGGTCAGTCTTTCAGCTAATTTGGTGGCGTCTCGCAATTTTGAGTCCCTTCTTTTGGGTTCTCTTAGTAGGGGTCCTAGAGTTGGGAGCAGAGGCCCCTGATTTTGGGAAACTCCCTTCCGGTTTGAGCGGGGCCGGAGGCCACACCTGGGCCCTCGCGTGTTGCAAGCACGCCAGCCTTCTCCGAAGCCAGCAGGCAGCGGCCATGTAGTCACTTAGTTTTCTGGGTACATCTACGGATTACAAAGGGGGTACTATCCTTGGGATTACATGGAGATATGTTGGGGTTTGAGCTACATTTCCCAAGAGCCACTGAACTGCCCTTGAACTGGGGCGCAGCGGAGTTATCACCTTTGTTCAGGGGAGGTGGAGGTGCACTGCTGCTGTATTGCTGAAATGCATGGTGTAAGACATTCATGCAACAACTGCTGCTACTCTTGTTTTCCTTCTCACCGTCGTCATGTCCTATTATTGATGATGCTTGTAGCTCGAGTCGGATTTCAGGTTGTCGCGCCGGGCCCCGCCCGGCGGCGCCCCGTACCAGGGAGCTCCACCTGTGCTGGGCTAAGCATGCAGCATTGTGGGGATAATGTGGGTTGTGTAGGGATGGGGTGATCCTGGCGTGAGTTAAGGGGGGCAGACTACTGGATCCCCAGCAAATCCTCCTGGCCAATCCTACATGCAGTCAAAAAACAGAGAGCTAGCATCCAGGCAATGTCCTGCAAAAGTTTAGCGCAATCACAGGGATCCAGTACCTCACCAGGACTGCAGCCTAGCAGACCCCGCTGCTCTTCCAGGATGTTTTGTAGCCTGCTTTTGAGCCCGAACATAGTTTGAACGCAGCTGCTTTCCCTACTGGGCATTGCTGAGCTCAGGTGCGAATACTGACGACGGAATCGCGACACAGCAATAAGCCAAGGGCTCAGGGCTCGGAAGAAGCCAGGCTGTACTGTAGGAATGTTTACTGACACTTATGCTGTTTTGGGGGGCGTGCAGCAAAACTGTAACTGGAGGTTCCTGGTCGTCCCTGTAAAGTCCGGAAATAATGAGGGCTGTATGATTTTATGGAGTTTGCATTGGACACTGGCTCTTGAACGTACCCCGCTCATTCACATGGTGCACGTGCAGCAATATCAATACCTGCTTCCCTGCAAGTCATGGGCGGGTCCTACAAGATGTCGCTTGTGGTCTTGGCAGGAAGCTGCTTGAAGATTCCAGGCTGTGCAGTCATGGCCTCAGATGTTGGCAAGTGCGCAGACTTCGCTATCACAGCTCAGGATGCGATGGTTATAATCATCATACTATAGACATCTATAGACGATGATTTCTAGTCTTCCCTGTGGTCTTTAAAATTCCATTCTGGGTCATTCCTGTATACGCGTGATGTCCCCTCGGCAAAGTACTGGAATCACAAGTACCGGATCAAACAAGGATAGACATCTCACAGGCCGTCCACACTAAACTTTGGAGAATTGGCCGTCAGGCGCAGGAACCGACGCCATGCGCAGTGCGCAGCTTTTGCCGTCCTGGCATGCTCTTGACTGGGCTGCAACAATAGTAGCAAGACGAAGGACAACTGGGCAACTTCTGAAACCGTGAGAACGCAAGTGCTAATTATGTAGCTACTGGCACCTAAAGTATGAGAAGTACCAATAAATCATAAGGTGCAGCTTCGTTGCGGCAGAGATGCGCAGACAACGTCGGGCAGTCAGGCCCTCTCCTTCGAGTGCTTCGCGCAAGCCGACCGCCCTCAGCTCAGACCTCGGTTTTGCAGATGTTGCGGCGAAACGATCCTCAGACAGGCTTCCTCTCGGCTTGAGACGTCAAGCTCTCGCAAGGCATGATTGCAGGGCAAGAGTTGGATGTGCAGCTGCAAATTGGTGGTTCATCTTTGTCCCACCCGGCGTGGTGCCTGCGTTCGTCGGTCCCTCCATCCCGGCTCGTGGACAACCGCAGATTGCAGGTGGTGGCAGTCGTGTGACGTCATGGTGGTTTGTAGGCGTACGTAGCGAAAGCAAACCTCAACTGCCCGAAAGCAAAAGCAATTTCTTACGAAGCCCCGTGTCTGTCACGAAGCTTAAGCTCTCTGAAAAAATTGGCATCCAACGCCTTGCGCATGTTGCAGCCTGACTGGTTCTTAGTAGGGAATGTGCCAATAAATCCCGATATAATTTGTCCCTCTATTCACTCGCAAAACCCCACGAAGTGTGATATCCCAATTACGACCCCAATACACCATAGTAGCTTTCATGTTCTTTGCCATTTTTCCCTACATATAAGTAAAATCCCATTATAATGTAGTAGCTTCCATTTTCTCGTATATTATTCCCTACATATAATTAAACCCCCACCATAATGTAGTAGCTTCCATTTTCTTTTCCATTATTCCCTGCATATAGTTAAAACCCCACCAGAATGCAGTAGCTTCCATGTTCTTGTCCATTATTCCCTGCATATAGTTAAAACCCCACCATAATGTAGTAGCTTCCATTTTCTTTTCCATTATTCACTGCATATAGTTAAAACCCCACCATAATGTAGTAGCTTCCATTTTATTTTCCATTATTCCCTGCGTATAGTTAAAACCCACCATAATCTAGTAGCTTCCATTTTCTTTTCCACTATTCCCTACACATAGTTAAAACCCCACCATAATGTAGTAGCTTCCATTTTCTTTTCCATTATCCCCTACATATAATTCCATTTGCAGGTGAATCCAGAGCGAATCGGCTCCCTGGTTCGGCAGCTGCTTGCCGGCGAGGAGCCTGCCGCAAACTGGAGGCCACATTGTTAGGCCTAATCTGAGCTATAGTCTGAACCCTTAAAGGGGGTTATAAAGTGGATTAATTATAATATAGGGGAGTATTATCGCGTCATTAAGGTGGCTACTAGGAGTTTAGACTATAGCTCTTATGCTTAAGTTTGCAGAGTGGTTGCATATCTGCAGGCTCGTTCACGAGGTTGACGCTATCGATGGCTTGCTGCAGGAATGCTGGCTTGCAAGCCGGAAACAAATCAATTCAGAGCCGCGTGCTCCCATCTCCCATATACGGCCTAAATACATCTAGTAAAGTCCTTCGTGGTACCCATTGCTGGGTTGTGGATTGACCCAAAGCTTGATTTTACTGGGCCTTGCCAAGCTTGAAGATCCTGAAGGAAAGCCTGGAGCACAAGCAAGCGCTTGAAAGGAAAGCCAGGCCACGTGTGTTGCCACGTCCATGGGCAGCGTATGCAACATCAACTTGATTTGTGTCTGCTCTGCTAGCGAAGACAGGCAGAAAAACATCCTCGAAGAGCAGGCCTGGGAAACCCGATCTTTCAGCATCTGAGCTATTGTCTACACTCCTTTAAGGGGGGGGGGGTTAACTAGCGGCGTATATAGGGGATTATCATAGGGGCTATTAAGTGGGATACTAGGAGTTCAGACCACAATCCCCTATATAATCCCAGTTTCCATTTCATTTTCCATTTTCTTTTCCATTTGATTCTCCATTATTAGGGGACAATCTCCCATCTGGGTCGTGGAGCACGGAGTCTGCGCCTCGGCTCTAGAAGATGCTGTTGGCGGCAGGTTCGAGAAGCTCAGAAGAAGGACGTCTAAACTCCTTGAGAGGGGTTATATAGCGGATCATATAGGGGATAGGGAATTCTTATCGGTGTTAGTCATATATATATATATAGGATGATATAGGGGATAGGGGATTATTATAGGGGTTATTTGACATGGGGGATAGGGGGCTTTTTTTGGGTTTATTAATACAGCGGATGATATAGGATATTAGCTATTAAGGAGGATGTGCGGCTGCAAGCCATGGCATGGCTTGGGGTTTCGAGTGTTGGGGCTTCGCTTGCTTGCCGCGCTGAATGCCTGACTTACTGGTTCCTAGTAGGGAAGAATTGAGCATAATCCATTATGATACCCTAGAGCATATTCCCTTATTCGCTATATCATGCCCCTATGATCCCTATATAGGCCCTATATAATCCCCATATAGAATATTCCTTTTATTCCTTACGAGGAACCAGTAAGCTGAAGGACAAGCCCTAAATAGTTTCAATTTCCTTTCCATTCTCCCAATATAACACCAGTATATACCCCGTAATCCCTATCGAACCCCATTATAGTGGTTTCCATTTTCTTTGTCATTATCCCAGGACACGGAGTCGGAGTCCTAAACCCTAGATCCTAATCCCTAAACCCTAATCCCTAAACCCTAATCCCTAAGCCCTAAACCCCACAGGACACGGAGTATAAGTCCTCCATGATGCACTGGGGCGGCAAGCTGCAGGCCGCCGTTCTTGACTCGCATGTGGCGAATATTGTATTGAGCTATGTAGGGTTTAGGGTTTACGGATATTGGGTTACATAGGGTTATGTTATAAGTTATATTAGGGTTTATAGGGTCATATTGCAAGTTCTATGAGGTTAATAGGGTTATGGTATAAGTTATATGGGGTTATCTAGGGTCATATGATAAGTTGTACTGGGTTATATAGGGTTATATTGCGTCATGTTAGGTTATGATTCAAATCAACAAGTCACCACCGCTTCGATGGGTCTTTGTTCCTAAGCCCGAAAACCCTCAAGCCCTACACCCTAAAACCCTCAAGCCCTACACCCTAAAACCCTCAAGCTCTAAGCCTTAAACCTTACACCCTAAACCCTAAAACGTTCAAGCCCGAAACCTTTATCCCTAAGCCCTGAAACCCTCAAGCCCATAAATGTTCGCAGAGGCAGATGCGCAGCAGCCAGGGCCTTATCCAGAGTCTAGCCTAGCAGGCAGTACATAATTATGACCCAACAGAAGTTAATAATGTGTACAAGTCTAACCCAATAGAACCCAGTGTTATGAATAGATAAAGCCCAATGAACTTAATGATATGCAGAAATATAGCCAAATTGAATAATCCTTTTTGCCCCTATATACTGTAGCCCTACATACCGCAATGTAGCCCTGTGTCAGGTATATAGAAAAGTTACAGATGCTGCAGGGATCTCTCTCTTCAGACCTCCTTCCCTTTAATAGGATCCATGTCAACCCTAAACCGTAAACCCTAAACCCTAAACCCTACACCCCTAAACCTTTTGTTTTGCTAATGCTCGGTGACCGGAGAGGTGGCAGGAGGAAGAACGACTCAAGAAAGCTCAGCAGCAGGAGGCACGCCAACCCTCTAGATCTCTTCGAGTGGTGCCAAGAAAATACAGTAGCATTTAGGAGGACCCCCCCACCCTGTAATAGTGGTACAATAAGAATATAAGAGGACCCTAATTTAATCCCTATTATCCCTTATAGTCACTATTACGGGGTGGGGGGTCCACCTAAAGTAGGTCCACCTAAAGTATCATACAGTACCCCCTAAACCCTAAACTCTAAACCCTAAACCCTAAACCCTCTATCTCTTTTTGGGTTGCCCCTTCCTTGGAGTGCTGAGCGGAGGCACTTCGAAAGTTCAACGAGGAGCAGGCCAGGCACGCGGAGGCCTGAAAAATGCATTCCTTCTGCTGTGCTTATGTTGGGGATAATGGAAAAGAAAATGGAAACTACTACAATGGGGATATAGAAATTATAGGGTATATATTGAGGTTAGTTAAATTGGGATAATGGAGAATAACATGGAAACTACGATTTAGGGTCATATTGGGGTTACTGGTCCTTTTCCTGGCAGAGGCCGGCCGGCAGCGGAAACGGGCGGAGGCCAGCGTCGTAGCTCAGCTGGAGGAAGATATGGCCAAGCAGGCGGGAACGATGACCATTGATGACCGGGCCTGCACGTGCATGGGTGTTTAGACTGAGGCAGCCGAAGCCAAGCTTCGGCAAGAAGAAGCAGAAGAAAGGAAAAAACGTCAGCAGCAGGCGCAAGCACTGTAAGATACTGTAAGGATTCCCAAGACAGGCTCACTTGTTTGAAAGGCACTTCTTGACTGTATAACAGCCGCACGCTGCTGCTCGGAAGGAGATGGCCAAGCAAATGGCAGAAGCCGCCAAGCAAGCTGTTGAGCAGAAGGCCCCATCTTGCGCTGGTTCCTTCATCCTGCATCATTATGAGGATGCATCACGGCTGTTGTCAAGATTAGCTTCTGTTTCCTTAGTGGTGCCCGCTTGACAGTTGGGAGCCAGTTCTTAGCCCCGAGCAGGGCTTTCAGCGACAGGTCGCAGGTGACACCAGCAAAATCAAGCCAAGAGTTGGGTGTGCTTGGGTTGAGGGGGGCTTTGTATTTAGATCTCATGCGCGTGGTGAGGCGTTGCAAAAGCAAGAGGAGGCGCAAAAGGACCGTCTTCTTCAATCTTTGCATCCAGCCACTTAGGGCGACAAGATTCCCAACTAGTTTCCGAGCCTGGGAGGAAAGAGCGTGAAGGCTCATGCACTGTGCTTGCTCTGTAGGATATTGCGCTCATGCACGCGCAGATCGCATGAAGCTCAGCTTGCCACAAGTGTGACGAGTGTGAGCCAAGAATTTGCTAAGATGCACAGAGATGAACCATACAGCAGGAGAATCAAGTTCACTTCTTGCTTGAGTCAAGCTCCACTGAGGCGCTCATGGAGGACCAAGAAAAGAGGCGCCAGGCGCTCAGCTTGCTTCAGCATTCCATTGCAACCATGCAGACATCTTAGTCCAGCGGTGCCCAGGTGCAGACGCCTTGCAAAAAATCAGAGACAAGCAGGCTGACTCCTGGCCTTGATGTGTTGCATGTGTCAACGCATTAGTGCACTGCAAGGGCAAGGCCCAGGCGCAGTACGAGGCGTGCTGCGTTCTGTGATCTCCAAATTGTAGGCACGTGTTGGTGCACAGATCTAGCGCAAGAAGGAAGGTGTATCAGAGACGGAAGGATCCTGTAATGTTGGGCAAAGACTGAATAGAACCCAGGGGATAGACCTGTAATACATGGAGATGCCATGGCGGAGGGAAGTAAAAAGCAGGAGCAGCAAGAGGCAGAAGATTAAAGCATGTCTTGAGAGCAGTTGCTTCAGTCGTGAGGCGGGAGCAGGAAGTCAGCTGGCAAAGCTCCAGCAGGAGGACCTGAATTCAAATTGTAGCTTGCAGCTTTTGGACATTTCTCTCGCTCTCTCTCTCTCTCTCTCTGTCTCTCTCTCTCTCTCTGTCTCTCTCTCTCTCTCTCTCTCTTCTCTCTCTCTTTGTCTCGCTCTCTCTCTTTGTCTCGCTAGTGTCTCGCTGGCTCATTCTCCGTCAGCGTAATCAAAGCAGTGATCGCAGTTTTGCGCAGCGGTTAGGTTCGAAACTCACAGGTTGGGTCAGGGCTGTGGGAATGGCGCTTGCGGCACCTGTGACGGCCGTTGCTCCTCCCCAAGCTGCTCTGCAGCTGAGGGGGGTGCGCAATGTGCAGGCTTTGCAGGTGCACCCGGAGTCTACTGGGGCATCGGGGGCGGGGGCCTGGAGCTTGGGAGCGCTGGCCTGCCTGACCGGAGCAATGGCTTTCGGCTCACGCCAAGCTTCCTCCAGAGTGGCGCTAATGGCCGCAAAGACGAAGACCAAGACGAAGCTGCCAAAGCGAGAGAAGAGCAGAAGGAAGCCACCGTTTGAGCCCAGGGATCAATTGGGCGCCACAGAGCCCTTGGGTTTCTGGGACCCCGCAGGCATCTCTCCAAAGGATGAGCAGACATTCTATGAGTACCGCGTCTGCGAGATCAAACATGGAAGAGTTGCTATGATGGCATGCATAGGTGCCGTCGGCCAGCACTACCTGAGGCTTGGCTGGTTCAGCAAGACAACCTGGGGAGAGCCCATGCCCTCTGGTTTTGCGGCAGTCTTCAGCAATCCTGCTGCCTTCGGTATGATCGTCCTCACAGCGATTTGCGGGCTCCTTGAGTTCACGATCTTCAAGGATGACATCGAGAAAGGAGCTGGCAACTTCGGGGACCCACTCCGATTTAACATGTACACAGATGAAATGCGAAATCGAGAGCTCAACAACGGCCGATTTGCAATGTTTGCCATCATCGGGATCATCGCTGCCGAGGGCGTCACGGGCAAGGACGCCATCGAACAGTTGGGCCTCTAATGATTGTGAGCCGGGCTGAAGCAGAGTGTTGGAGCGGCTGGAGAACTTCACTGCACGGCACTGCCAAGCTGCTGTGGCGGAAAATGTTTGTCCATTTGAGGAGATAACATTGTTGCATAAATTCGCAGATCCATTTTTCTTTAAGTTTTCAAGCGATAATGCTCGCTTCCGGTCCAAAATGCCACCGCACCAGAAGCAGCAGCATGGACGATCTGCGTATTGCCACTTTGCGCTGGTACCACTTTGATTGTCTGGTGATGAATCATGTCTTACTCGTAGCAGGTCACCGGGGTTAAAGTCCTCCAGCTTTATGAGCATCATTTGCCACCGGAGATTATTTGAGAATTCGTTTGCGGCCATCTGAGGAGTCGATGCAAACTTAAACCTGCAAATATCGATACGCCCTGCTTGCATGAAGCTAGGTCAGAATCATCAACTTCAATCATGACCAGTGACCAGTGCATGTTTGGTTAGTTGTCAAGGATGCAAATACCACACGGCTCGTCACAATCGTTGCCGCCGTGGAGCCAAGACAGACTTGATCTCCTGCCACTGCCATGGACGCAGAGGAACCACCTGATGCTCTAACATGGCAGTGCTCCGCCGTCGTCTATGTGGTGGTTGCCCTGGCATTGCTTATCGGAGTTCAGGGGTACTGCGAGTACCACGGCGCCTCGGTCAGTACAGCAGCTGTATTGAAGATGAAACGCACCTTCTGAATTCTAGCTGGGATGGCATGTGGTAGGCTTGTCTTGTGCAGCTTTGCTATACAGTTTGTCCGCAGAGCTTCAGGCAAGATGAAATGGCGCCTGATTGAATGGAAGCACATAGCTGAAAGCTCGCGCTGCTGCAGTGCGTCTGGGATGGCCGCCTACAGGTTCGCCTTCTTCCTCGTTGTGCTTGCCACTGATGCTATGATGGTCGTGCAAGCAGGGGACACCCCCTTAGTTGGCTCATGGACGGTTTTTGCTACCTTCACCGTATGGAGTTGGAGCTTGATTGGCGTGTACAACCTGATGGCTGCTTTTGCGTCGCTCCTGGCTGCGATGGACAGAATCCCTAAGGGCTGCGTTGCCCGGGTTTTCTGCTGTTCAGTCTGGGTTCTGTACGAGGTGATGCTTCCAGTCTCATGCCTGATCTTCCTCTTGGTTTGGACTGTGTTGCTACCCTTGGCTTACCGCACTTATCACAGTGATGCTGGCATGCTGAGCCTTCCATCGCTCGCAGCTCACAACCTGAATTTTGCATTCATGCTCGTTGAGACATTTCTCAACAAGCTGTGCATAACGACATACCATCTTTTCTTCATGTTTTACTACGGTGGCATCTACGTCATCTTCTCCTGGATCTTTTACTATTTGTACAGTTTTTTCTTTTACTTCTTCATTGACTGGCGGTATCCTTTTGTTCTGTGTGGCTACACCGGCCTGCTGGGTCTGCTCGCCACTTTCTTCTTCATTGGTCGCGGCATTGTAAATTGTATCAAGCCGGCTTTGTACACCTGGGAACTGGACTTGGAACACGACGTTGGGACCTCGGACTCTTCCGGGTCATCAGACGACGACTGAGTGACAAGCAATTGCCTAAGCGCCTGAAGAACAGCTTCAGGAGGCTCCGTGGCGTTCTTCACAGTGCTTCAAAGAAAGCTGCTGTCACAGCTACTGTCTGCACGTGGCATGTCGGAATTGTCGGACACGTGTATCGCATGTATTTTTCTGGGCACATAAATTGCTGGCGATCATACGCAGGCTTTGGGGTAGGCGACGCAATTTGAAGTTCTGTGAATATAGCTCTACATTTTTGTTTTGTAGGAGGATGAGCGGGCTCGAAGATACCAAGAGGAGAAGAACGCCAAGGACGAGGCATGTGGCATCACATGAGCTATAGTCTAAACTGCGAGTATCCCCGTTCAAAAGCCCTGCAATAGGGACACCCCAAACCCTAAACCCTGAACCCTAAACCCTTATAATCCCTTATAAACCTCCCTTCGAGGAGTTCAGACTATGCCTCACATAAAGACATAGAGGCATCATTCCTCCGGGCTAGCCCGTGTGAGCAGGCTGCTTTCAAAGAGAAGTCCGACCGCCATGGTTACCAAGGGATTGGGCTTAGGGTTCAGGGTTTGGGAATCCAAGTGTATACAAATCATACCAATAACGTAGAATCAAAGGGAAAAGAAAACGGAATAATAACTGGAAACTAAGGTTATAAAGGGGCTGTATAGTTGATTCAGTTGCGTGCTGTGTTGCGACGAGTATACTGCCATTATATCATATCTAGGTGTGTGGTGGGGTTCTGAGGGCAGTGAACAGACTAATACTTCACTGGAAGTTTGCGTTGTTGCCCCACAGGGCCGGAACTGACACTTGTTCCCACTGTAGCAAAGCCCCAGTTTTGTACTACCATCTCAGCTTAACATGACACTTCTGACTTCATGGGTCCGATTGCTATCACATTCATCTCCAGCAGGATATTGTTAGTGTGGTCATCATAAGCAGGATGCCCTCGTTGACGACGAACATGATGTTTGTTATTCACAGGGATACGTTGTGTCGAAATCGTGTCCACACTTGTTCATTCTTTTGCTTTCCTGTGATCACTAGTGACGTCAGCATGTATTTGCCATTTTGTCTGCAGCTCGTGTCATTCTCCTTGCTATCCTTCGCTTTCTCAAGTAAGTAACATGGCAGTGGCAGTTCTCATACGCATTCCTGCAGTCAAGCTGACGCGTGCCGCGGCCCGCATCAGTTTCAGCTGCCCTTCGGCGTGCTATCGCTCACACCCTCAGGGTTGTAAGGGGAGTGGGGGGTTCAAGCTCTGACGCTGAGAGTGACACACTGATCATGCTGTTTGGCTTCTTCAGGAGCTACTCGATGCAGTCAGCAAGAGCATGCGCCCTTAACAGTCTCTATAGCATTGCAAAACGGAGGATCTGATACTCACAGCCCCAACATCGTTGATCTCTTGGTTGTTTCTACTGCTTAAGATCAGTGCAACACCGGTGAGCACCCGCCATACAATTTCTGTCTACGAGTCTACCCTGGCATGTTGCATTCCACTGGTCCTGTGCAAAATGCCTTCCGGCACGAGAGGTTGAGGCGAGCGTGGGGAGCCTTGAAAGAACAAAATCAGGGCAGAAGATGCGAGGGCTCGCCTGATGTGTGTGCGCGTGCATTGTAATGCAGAAAGTGTGTTTTGTGCTTGGGTTTTGGCTGCGTGCGTCTGCAGCCTGACCTGATTTTCCCATGCGTTTACACAGGTGCTTGGTGTACTGCTTAGTAACTTGCTGGGGAAGGCCTTGGATGGATCTGCAGCGGCCTTTCAAGAGAGCACGCCCAGGGCTCAGAGATTCAAACTTATTGTGTGTTGTCGTGCTGGCGAGCTGTGGCAGGTCACTTTGAGCCAGCATCTGTTTTGGCCACCTGCCATCTTTCCCTACGGATGGCAACGGCCTGAGAAGAGGGATCATGTTGGCTACATAGTCCTGTTTACTCGTATGTAAAGGGTAGTGGTCATAGGGCGTGTGGGACAAAGGAGAACGAGATTTCGGCGGTTCACGCTGTAGCACAAAGCCCGCCCCAGGACTCGCAAGGCTTCGATACGCGCCAAGATAAGGAGCCGCTGAGATGCAGTTGTGTGTCGGTGTGTATGCCAGGTGCCAGATTGTATTCATCACTATGGCTGTTGGACTTAACTCTGTGCGACAATGTTTGCTGGACATCCAGGAAGATCCCAGGCAGGCAGAAGCATGTTGGCAACACGTCCCGCTACTCACTGTCTGGCCCCATGAAGCGTTACGGTGCCTGACCACTTACAAGTTAGCTATGTGAGGGGAGAGTGAGTTTCTATGGCCCAGTGACAAAGGACGAAGGCTCCGCAGCCCCAAACACTGACATCTCATCTCTCAAGCTTACTGGTGGCTGGTGGGGAAGGGAGCAATGGAATCCCCTATCATGCCCCCCCGAACCCACGCTGATGCCTTGATTCTCGTTCTGTAGCCGAGGCCCTGAACCCTTGACCCTAAATAATCTGTTCCTTTCTTCCAAGCTAAGCACTAGCAAGAAACCTTAAACTTCATGAAGAGCACCCACCGCATACCCCTATTTCATACCCCTATTGTAACCCCATGAAAGATGACAGACTCCTTGAAAGCACTGGCAAGTCAAGGCTCGGGGAGCTGGCAGCCGGTGGACCCCTGGTCCTGGAGCTCTGGCCGCAGGAGGGCACTCAGGACTTCTGGGTTTAGAGTTTAGGGTTTTTAGGGTTTAGGCTTTAGGGTTTAGGGTTGGGGGCGTGAGGGGGAGTAGAGGGAATGTGGCTGAATATGGATACGACTTCAGGGGATTGTGCCGTTTTGGGGGGATTCAGAGGGAGTGGAGGAGGGAGTGTAGGTATCATTTAATTTACGGGGATTATAATGGGGATCCATTCCGCCACTCTCCTTTTAGCACCAGCTAGTCCTTCGCAGCGATGGGGATGTACAAGTGAGTGTTCCTAGGAGGGGTTCGCCGGAATGCCAAGTGCAGCCAGGAGCTTGAGACCAGCGACATGGATCTGGAGATGTGGCGTTAGACGCAAACCGCAAAAGTTGGCAGCTTCCCGAACAAATGCTTTCAGCACAGCGGCCGGCGAGTTTTGCAAAGTCTGGTTGTGCACAACGTGGAGCAGAGCCTGTATGTGGACGGCGGTCGCGACCACTAATGCCTGGGCTTACGACACATTGGCTTTTGAACATGCGGCAGGGTCATTGCGACGGCTTCTTGCTCTGCAAGTCAGCTTCCATTGAAAGCACATGGACATGGCCGTTGATTTCGCAACTCGCGCAACGTGCACGATCTGATCTTAGCGGGCAAGAGAACAAGCGCGAGCGACGTTGTCTGTTGCCGCTTATAGTAGCTGTGCGTTTTTGCCAGCCATGGTGCGTACTTTGTTAGAAAAGGTAGCGAGGGGATGCTCTAGACCTTGCCAGGCAGAGCAGACTAAAGAAGATGCACATGGATGGAGTCGCTTGGCTTCAGGCTATCGTGAAGTCGTCCTCATTCATTTCGACTTTACGAGCCGAGTATTCTTTTGCTGCGCAGGAAGTTCTGACCTATAGACGCCTCTCTCACGCACCTTCTGAAGCCCCTAAACCCTAAGCCACTTGAATCGTTTTGAAAATCAGTCTTTTTTCGGTACCAGGTGTAGCACTGCTGAACTCAGGCAGCATTTCTTTCCAAGCAAGTTGCAGAGCAAGCCTGTCAGAAGGCACTCCCTGCCTGTTGCGTGCAAGGGAGTGTTCCTCTGCTGCTTTCCGGGCTTTGATAGTTGCGGCTACAAAAATGTTTTTCTTTCTCGAGGCGGCAGAAAGGGAAGAGCAGCGAAGACGTTGGGCCCCCAACACGCCGCTCATGGTTGGCAATCATGTCAACCCATGGGACGCAGAGGTCGCGAGCATTCAGACCGGGATGCAGCGGCAGCGCTCGAAGAGGAGAAGCTGCAGGCACCCTTCAAGCAGCGCGAGCAGTGTAGCTCTGCCTTCTGCAAGATCAGCTTTTGTGGTTGCCACTTGGCCGTAGCAGCGCGCTTCAATGTCGGAGCGAATCAATTGACAGCCTGCAACGTTGCTCCATGCAGTCTTGATTTGGATGCAATGCTGCAACACATTGCTCTCCCACCGTTGGCCAGTAGCGGTTTGTGAAGTCCTTAAAGCATCATTAAGTTTTGTGCAGCTCATGCTTGCGAACGTTGTGCCCGTGCATTTTCTTGCGTGACCTTCACCGGCTGCCTGGCTGGCACGGAAGGCAAGTAGTGCCGGTTTTTTCTTGCTATGGGCTCATTGTGTGCATGCTAGAGCCAGGTGTTGCAGCGCAAGCAGCGAGAGAAGGACAAGCGTGGCTGAACATGCACTGGTCTTGTCCCGCTTATTGAAGGCCTCAGTTCTCAGTGCTCGTGGAAACACTGAGATGCGGCGAGCTCCACACTTCATCTCACATGTTGTTCGGTTTGTCGAGAGGGAAGAAGCCTCCAAGAGCCAAGATGAAGAGCTTTGGTAGACCCAGCCTGCAAATTCTCGCAGGAGAATGCTGCATTTCTTCAACAGCAGATGAGCCAGAAGGCCCCACCCAGTGCTGCGCATGCGTGGCTTTCATAGCACTCATTCAAGTAAGTGATTCACGTCCTAGATTAAAATTTGACCCATACTGACCTTGGCATGCCTTACAGGCCCTTGCTTTGGAGATTCGTTGCGTCTAGCGGGCTGGCAGATAGCATTACATGTGTGTGTCCTGTACCATCGCCCAAATCGCAGCAGCTATAGCCTCAGTTCCAGTGCAATAGTGCATCAAGAGATTATGAATCGGGCCTTTCAGCAAGGTAACAGATAGACGTGGTATGTGATCTCATCCCATGTGCATGCAGAGCTGGCCTTTCGCTCAGTTCGCAGCCAAGATGGCGAACGACGACATGACGCAGGCTCCAAACCCTGGCATGAGAGTTTCCAAAGACGATCCCCCATTTTTGGGCTCCCTCCTTGCTTCCATGGCACATTGTGCGTATAGTACAGCTTCTTCGAGCGCCTTACGTGTGGCAACTACTCTCAGTATTCGGTGAACTTTCGTCGAAACTGGATAGCAAAAGCAGAGCTTGGCACGACAGCGTTGACTGTTGGATGCTGTAGGCTCAAAGGCTCCCTGACATAACTTCTGAGTGCACGTCAAAATAGTGTCGAGCCCAACACACTAACGAACTCAATCGAATGACGTGTTTTCAGGTGGAGCAGTCGATGAACAAGGACCTGCACTGCCTGCCTGGGCTTGGGTGTGGGGCGACAGCGTGTAGGGCGACAGCACTCGGTGCTAGTGAATCCATACTAGTGACTAGTCCATACGGATCAACCACAACCATGATCGTTGGAACAAAAGAAGTTGCAGTCACCACCGGAAGCTTGTTGCGGGCTTGCATAGGTGAAGAGCAACAATTCAGGGCCAACGGCGGGCACCGCCGGAGAGCTAATTGCGCGTGCACAGTTTTCTCAAGGCCAACGCCAAAAACGTGCCCCGCGCGCGCGTGGGAAGGCCATAAGTCAGCTTTCGCGAGGCGCTGCCACGCGCGCAGCGCGTCCCACCGCAATGCCTGGGCAAGAGCGCACGCAGCCCGAACTCCACCTTTTTGGCCTCCTGCCTAGGTAGCGGTGGTAGTGGAAGTTTCTATAAAGATTACTCTGCTTCAGTTCTGCTTGGATAGGCGTGGCAAGCAAAGATCAGACAAACTATGTTGTGCCCTGCCTGAAGCTAGGAAGCACGCGTGCCATGTCGTCCACGCAGTTTAGGATTCGAGTTTCCGATGCTTAGGGGTCTGTCTTGGGTCAGAGATCCCCATGTTTGGTGTTCTTAGCATGCCCCCCCAATCCTGCATCGTTGCTTCCACTCAGCTGCTTTGCAGGAGAGACTGGAAAGAGCGAAGCGGCCAGTGCCCAAATTGGCTCGTCGGAGGTGAAGTTGTTCTTCTATCCTGCTTCTTCTATCCTGCAAGATCATCCTTGCAAATCTTTTTGTCTTTCTGATCGGTACCATCTTAGTTCACCGCACCGTAGCAGAGAAGTGCGAGAAAACCAGAAGTTGCGTTGTATCCCGCTTGTTGCGAGCCTGAGCCGAGGTTGATGCAAAATCAGCTGAGGTGCCCCTGCAGTGCAATGTAAGATCGTGACTGGCTGTGTGGGCTTGCAATGATATTTTGACCCTTGTGTCGCCCCTGTGCTTTCTGCTCTGACTTGTGTTGCTCAGTGTGGTCAGGGATGGCATGCCAGTCTCCACATGAGCTGAACTGACAGCTATCGACGAATTCGAAGCACACTCATGCATCGCTAAGCGTGGACGGCGCGCTGCCAAATGCCACGAGCGGTTCCCAGAGACGTCAGTTAGGAACCTCAATCCAAGAAATAAAGGGCAGGCTGCAAAACTGCATGCCATGCCAGTTTCACCTTAAGACGCATTCAAAACGTAGGCAAAGTTTGACCGTGCCCTGCTAAATTGGTGGGGCTGTTCTCACCACGGAATGTAGATACAACCTACAAGGCTGTTGCTAATCAGCATGGATGAAGATGGGAGTTTGTGAGATTATGTCCTTCTTTGGAGGAAGCTATGGCAGTTGATATTTTCCCACAAGCATCGCCTTGTGGAAAAGATGCGCTTTTGCTTACCCAGGATCCTCGCATACAGGGGTCCCAAAATCATGATGCCCACGTCCCCAGAACAAGGACCTTTGCTCTGAATCTAGATTGAAGGCATACTTTCCATAACCCCCAACAACTCACATTGTCATGCTTCCCGCATTTGGCACGATAATGTTTCCTACAGTATACATATCCTCAGTTTACATCTCTCTCAGTGGTTCCAACCGTAACGGTACCCCACCATGTAGGAAATCCAGTTGGACATACTCTTATCTCCACAAGTATCATGGATTCTTGTTGGGAGCCCGTGTTCCGATCTCGTTTGGGTATTTAGGCATTCAAACTCAAAAACAGGGTCCTTTATACAGCCTAGCCTCATTGGATACTCACATGGGATCAACGGAAAGATGATCCGTAATCTAAGTGCCCCGGCCCGTATTAGCAGACACTTGCGTTGACCCTTTTGAAATTGAGTCGTCCTGTGTTGGGAGCCCTTCTGAAGAGCAGTCGTAATTTGCGGCGTGAAAGGGTGGACCCATTTTTTGGAAATACAAGATTATGGCTTGGCATCACACCTAGCAGCATTGATACTCATTGCTTGTTGTAACTCCCTGAAGCATGCCGAATGCGAGTGCTCCTGGGAATACATGGGTACTATGACATTGTCCCGCGTCATGCTTTCTGGGGTGACTGCACGTGGACGTTTGCCGCCTGGGATCATATTGCTTGAGTTCTGAGAGTGACCAAACAATTGCTGCCATCGCCCTGCTGATGATCCTATTTGTGCAAGACTCCCTCGAAATTCTTCTTTCGGAGAAAGGTTCCGGTTCCTTCCTCAAGTACCTTGAAACTTCTGTTGGAGGGAACCATGCAGGTTCCTTTTCCAAGTCCATGATTCATTTTGTGGGCAATCAGTTGGCTTAGGTGCTACGTGCAGCTCACAGGAAGCGCCGGCAAGGCGCGTAGGTTCCGTTCAATTGGCATTCGTTTCAATCCTCAATAGAGGTGACCAAATCGATTCCTCGTTTGCATGAAGAAGGCATCAAGAGCTGCAACTACTCTACTAAGCTGACAGGAAGCAAAATGGGGCTTTCCCAAAATTAGGGGTAAATTTTTGGGGGTCTCCATAATGAGGATTTGATTATAGTATTCTAACGTACATATTATGTATATACAATTTGTCTACATGTTGCATGTACGGTGTATCTCATGTAACTATTGTGTAGATATCATGTAGGTGTGTCTGTGGCACTTGATATGTGTATGGTATTGCCAAATGTAAGTACATGTAGTTGCTGCATACCCACCGGATGCATGCCAGAGGTTATGCGTAGCCTTATGTCTTTGTCTATAGTCTCAAATCCTAGCATCCCCGTTAATATCCCCGATAGCACTCCGTTATATAATCCCTTTTCAAACCCCACTATAGCATATTGAATGCATAATGTCGAATCATTTGCTCCTTTCTCTGGGTATATGTTTCTGATCTGCAAGCTCTGCCCTCAAGGGCTATGAGGAGAACCCCTGGATGCTCTAGACGGGAACTCTGGAAGGGGTCCCTGATCCCATTTCTACCCCACATAATTTTCCATAGATGCCCTCATGATCAACCTAAGGGCCTCCATGAAACCCCTTAAGCCCAAACCCGAAACCCTATATAACCCCATTAGAGTAGTTTCCATGTTCTTTTCCATTATCCCTATATAGGAAAGCCCGGGATTCCCTTCCTGGTCCCAGCCCAAAAATCCAGAATCACGCTTTATGGTGCATGTAATACCGAATACATGTATGTATATATATATATACACGTATATGAATTTCTATTCGTATACAGTATATGCCGTGATCTTACAGACTTAGATGAGCTAGCTCCTCGTATCCCCTCTCATAATCCCTATAATACTCCTCAAACAAACCCTACATAACAGCCTTTAGGAGTTTAGACTACAGCTCATATACACCTGATGAAAGGCAGTGCTGCTCACGAGCCTTACGCAAGATGCGGCCAGTCGAGTCGAGAGCTCAGATTTGAGCTAAAGCCCTAGCTCCTAAACCTAAACCCTAGTCCCTAAGCCTTAGTTCCTAAGCCCTAAACCCTAGTCCCTAAGCCAAAGTCCCTAATCCCTAGTCCCTAAACCCTAGTCCGTAAACCCGAATCCCTGGAGAAAAGGTCGGCAAAAAAAACAAAAAACGAATCCAAATGGAGTCATGCAGGGGCGGTCAATGACAGGCTCCGCAGTGCCAGCACCAACTCTGGAGAGCCTCATGTAGAACGGCCAGGAATGACGACGAGGGTGGCAGGAATGCGCAGGGAGGCGGACGTCGAGCGTTAGAAGAAGGTGAGACCTATGAAGAGACGCAATTGGTGGAGCGCAATGGTGAGTTGGTGAACTCTGTCAACAGCGCTGTGGAGGGCATGGCACATGGAGTGAGCAGCTCGGAACATCCACCCACGACACCTACTGAGACAGCAGGTAGATTTGTGCAGACGAATCTTGCGTCGTGGCTTCGTAGAGCTGATTGAGTTTTTGGCTGTGTGGATCCCCCTTGCGTCACAGCTACCGAGCTGTGTGAGCCTGTGATGCTGGTGAGTCATAGAGGACCTGTGCTAGTGTCGAGGACCGTTGTTTGCATTCCTTGCTCCGTACCTATAGGGAGAAGCCGTGCCTGGCTTGCTGGAATCAGTGGTGGTGAGCCTTTTTGGAGGGACCTCAGCGGGGACATACAGGCCAGCTGACGGTTCCCTTGGCCGTGCTGATCCGTGCTGTAAGCATCTCCTCAGGACTGTCTGCAAGAGAAAAGGTCAGATACAAAAAAAAAATCCCTAAACACTAAACCCTAATCACTAATCCCTACCGGGTCTCGTGGGGTTTCATGATTGTATTGGTCATGCAGGGCATGACTGGAAAGCAAGGGACCTTTGAGGAAGAATTGTAGGTATGGGGATGTTCAGGCCATGAGAGGAGAAGTTATCCTGGAAATCCCGGAGCGGCAAAACAATCAACCCTAATTGAACCATCCGTGTGCCATATATGGTAATCTCCCTAGATAGGGGGACCCCACTATAGACCCCAAAATGGTATGATTCTTTTTATGGGGACCCCAAAAACGGACCTTTAATTTTGTGAAACCACTGAATCAAAAAAAAACCTAAACCCTCATTAGTAGTTTCCGTTTTTCCATTATCCCAGTATATCCTTCTATAATCCCATAAATTTTGGGGAAACCTTAATGTTTCTAGCCCCTATACAACCCCTCTAAACGGTACCCCCATCTCAGCTGCTGAAGGCCGTGGACCAGCTTAGATCTTCAGGCTTCAAGGCAGAGGCCAGGGACTTGGTTTAGGGTTTGGGGTTTAGGGTCTAGGGCTTAGAGTTTAGTAGGGTGTAGTGTTAAGGGTTAAGGGTCTAGGGTTTAGTGTTTAGGGTGTAGTGTTTAGGGTTTAGGGCCTAGGGTTTAGTGTTTAGGGTGTAGTGTTTAGGGTCTAGGGTTTAGGGTCAAGGGTCTAGGGTTCAGGGTCTAGGGTCTAGAGTTTAGAGTTCAGGATCTAGGGGGGTCTAGGGATTAGCGCTTCCAGATTCACAGTTGACCTACAGGTGCTTAAGGGGGACTGGCGGTGCGAATATAGGAACCATTGTAGGGGTATACATATATATATATCGATTATAAATGGACAATTTTCAGGATCCACTCCCTCACTCTCCCTCAAGCACCAGTAAGTTGAGGAGTTTTGAGGTTTTGGGTTTTCGGGTTGAGGGATGTTTAGGGTTTAGGCTTTAGGGTTCAGGCAACATTCAGGATGCCGGGTCTACAGCTCCGAAGTTAAGGTTGGGGATTCAGGGCGCAGCTGTACTTGAGGTTCTCATGCAAAATTGGCAGGATGCAGAATTTCAGAGCTCGAGGATTCTGCGAATATCCAAGGCAATCCTGAATCTGGAGCCATTCCTCCCAACCACTTTCTTGATTTATTGTATCACTCGCAACCCTGATCCTGTGGATTCAACGACAATTTGACACATTGCACATATAGATCGCCGAAATATCTGGGAACAAATATGGGATCTTTGACGGTCATAACGAAAAAAATTGCGACGCGCTACGGGCCAGGTTGAACCCATGCCGCCAACGAAGGCGTCATGAAATGATCCCTGGCAATTGAAAATCGGTCAATGCGAGTCATCTTATTAGGCTTATATGATTTCGTATTTTTTTGAATGTGAGGGATGATCTTTAAAGAAAACGACCGGCATTTTAATCATAGATTGATCGATTAGAATTGATTTTCGAGACGAAGGAAAAATCTACGTCGGGATATTTCATAGAATTAATTTAGGAATAGAATTGAATTGCTTCTCACAGCAACGGAAAATATCTATTTAAGAAAACCTATAAGAAATCTGATGAATAAGCAAACAATATTTGAATGGCTATTCTGGAAGCAAGGAGCTTGCAATAAAAATCTTATAGATTTTAAAGCCTTTAACTTTTCCGAAGGCTTCAAAAATCTCCGAGACGTCATTGTCTCTAAGGAGTCAGTAGGAAATATTTTAATGGCAAGCCGGAAAAAATAATTTGCGCGCGAACGAAACGACTGCAAATGATCGTGCCGTAATATTGAGATATATTGATGGTTGGGAATAGATTG